GTTTGTTTTTCAAAAAAAATTCAAATTTGATGGAGAAAATGCAATTTTAAATACCAACACGCCTATTCCGCTAGTAATTTTGTAACTTGGTTTTCTCCACTTTGGAAGCAGCTAGAACAAAAATTTTCACTGTTAAATAGGGCATTGTTTATACTATATATACCGCTATTCAAAACAGAAAATTTCGTACCTACGATTTTTTCAGAAAATGCCGCTAAATGCCCACTGTGCGTATGGCAGTCCATGGATGGTTAATACTACCATAGGAGACGAATGATACATCAAAAACGATTGAAGCTTGGCTTGTTCACCATACACCCGAATTTTGGACAGATTCACCACATAATTTTCAATTAATTCTAAATGGCTTTATTACACCTTTATCAAGTATCGGTAATCAACCTGCAGATATTATCCCATTACCTTATCCACCTTACGACAACATGCTAGTAAACGAATTTACCATTACATCACCGCTTCTATTCTCTCTTAATGCTCTACTGAGTGGTAATCTCACTGAATTGAAAGGTGTTGTTTATAATGGTAGTTTTGATACATCATATGAACGGATGTCGTTAGCTTTAGCTACATTAACAACTCGAGAATTAACAACAGCTGTATATTTGAACATATCAAGTGAAATTAAAAATTATCCAGAATTACGTTATCTGTCATATCCGAGAAGTAGTTCATTAACATCAATACATTTTTATATGTCACATGAAATACATTCATCACCTGGTTTTGATCATGTTATTCATACAACAATTGATACAAAATCATGTGAATGTAGTTCAGCAACAGGCAAATGTGATGAAATACAACAAATAATTAGAACTCCAGGCATCGAATGGTTATTTTCATCAATACCAAATAAACTAGATTATCGTTTAATGCTAGATTCAGTTGTTAGAGGAAAAATATTGACTATATATAATACAGAAATTGAATGTAAAATAACCGTATTAGAAAGTATTCATTGTGTGATAGGACCAGCTTTTGGTAAAAGTTGCTAAGAGAAGCAAAGAAAATAATAGGTTTCACTCAACACTAACAGAATAAACTACATTAATAAAAATTCTATGTATTAGAGGAAAATAATAATAATTCATCGTTATTTTTCATTAATTATTTTTCAGATATATAAATTTATTTCCAGTAAAGAAGTATAGTGAAGATATTGTTTATACTGGATTTTGTAGAGTGAAAAACGCCCTATAAACTGGCGATAAAAGAATTAAAAGACATGGTTGTTGTTTGAGAAAAAAATATTTTTCGAGCAAAATTTCAAATTTTCAGTTTTCATACGCTACACTAAAACTTATGTAGTAGGTCAAAGAAATACAGTACTACTCCCCAATTTTGTCAAAAATTACTCTATCTAGCAACACAATTTGAGTCTTCGAGATCGGCTGTATTAGTAAGAAAAAAAATTCAACATTGAAAAAGCTTCGTATATTATTACTAACAACTGATCGTTTATTGATCGTTTTGGTCTTAAAATTGAGTTTTCTCATTTTCATTATATCTCTTTGTGAAAATAAGATAATATTCTTGATCCTCAAGCAAAGGAAAATCGAACGGTATATTATATTAATATAGAAAAAGAAAAAAAAAACCAGTCAAGGACTGCCCCCTATAAAAAGTTCCGAAACAATTTTGCAAACCAGTCTAGTTTTTTTTCTTTGAAAAAATGAAGTCGATTTTTACACTTCATTAGAGCCGCCATTAAACGAGCTTTAAAAATGTACATATTGCTTTTTCTTCCATCGTGCTTTGTTATTGAGAAAGCTCATATGTTCCAGATCAAAAGCGCAAAAATAGAAATTCTGCCGGTATTCTTAATTTTATTCTTCACGACTCAGATTTTATTTAATAAAAGTATCATATTCTGGATCAGCGTCGCAAACTGAATCGAATGGTGTACTTTGTTAGTCTATCCGACTATGACTTTTTTTGAGTTTTTACATTGAAAAATTGCTGAGATTTTCACCAAAAATCAAAATCAACAAAAAGTTTCGAAATACATATAATTCGATCCAGTTTGCGACGCTGATTCCGAATA